GTGGGGAGGAAAACCGTGGAGTCAGGACAAGGGTGCGAGAGAATCCCTCGCAGTTTGGAGGGTTGGGGGGAGAGAGGGGTAAGTTCAGGGTGTGTGTGTTAGTGTGTAAAATGTGCCGTATAAAAATATATACATACAGGTTGAAGAAGGAGGTCACAGTTTGCAGAATATGCAGAACTTTACCTAAGACAAATAGTCCGGTAGTAGGCCGTGTGTGTGTATGGGGCTGGGGAGGGGGCGTGTACACGTAAAACCCTGGATCTCACTCTTTTCACCACTCCCGCCTCTTGCCCTTGACGCATACTTACTCCCTCTCCCCCTCCCTTGCCTTCAATTGTTCTTCTCCTCCCCCCCCCTCTCATCCTCTCTTCCCCCCTCTTCTTTCCCTCCCCTTGCTACCCCCCCCCACACACAACTCACCAAATGAGCATCTCCGCAGGTAGCGGCCCCGACCTCCTCCCAGGTTGCTGCCGGTGCTGCTGCCCCCTCCCGGCCCCCCCCTCTCCTCCCCACCCCGCCGCCCGCATCTCCGCCCTCGCAACCTCCAGCAGCTCCCGACCGAAGCGGCTCCGAACCTCCCGATACGCCGCCAGGAGGGAGGACCGGGCGGAGGGGTTGCGGGGGGTGACGGCCGCCACAGCGGACGAAAAACACGTCAGAAGCACGTCCGTGACGCCGTACAGTGTGTTGGAGAGCTCGATGGAGGGCGGCGAGGGGGGCATTGGGCGAACCATCAGAACGGCCTGCGGGTTAGGGAGGTGAAAAGGAAGGTGTGTATGTGTGTGTATATATGTATATATGTCGGGAAGAGACGAGGATTCATATGCAAAAGCAAAAAAACGGCAACTGCCCGCGCTCAAAGGATCAACTGCTGTAGTAGAAAGCAACGTCACAACGGCCCGTCGCTCCGAAACTTGCCCCTCAAGAAACCCCTATGTTAGAGGAAGTGGAGGGGAAACCGGGTATTTCCCCCTCCCCTCCCCTCCCCTTCCCCCCCACAAGGGCCAGCAGGTCCACTCACCATTGCCAGCTGTTCCAGCGCCCCCCGCGTGTCCGCCCCCGCCAGCCAGTCCGGTTTCCCCAGCTGCCCCGCCACCTCCTGGCAGCTCAGGTGGTAGCAGCCGGCCAGCTGCTCCCGGCGGGTGCCCGCGTTGCTGATCACCAGGGACACCAGCGCCCCCAGCTCGCGGACAGTGCCGCGGAGGGAGGACAGGGCTGAGGGGGGGGGGGTGAGGAGGGGAAGGGGGGAGAAGGGGGGGAAGGGGGGCCGGGGGGAGAAGGGGGGGAAGGCGAACCACGTGAACGAGTGAAGCTGCTGCCAGGGCAAAGAGTGTAGGCGGGAAGGGAAGGCGAAGGAGTGGCACATATCATGTGAAGCGGTGCGTTATGTAGCGCACACTCCGAATCCTTCTTTGCGACTGCGACTGCGGGTGGTGGTGGCGGTGGTGGTGCTTCTTGTGTGTTTGCGGTGGCGGTGTCTTACTTGGTGTTGTTCTCCACACCGGGTCGGGTCTCGACAGGACCTGGTCCAGAGAGACCTCTCGGCGAGCAGGTCGTGTGCTAAGTCACATACACGTCAGGAGGGGCTGCGGCGGCGGCTGCGGCGGCGACGTCTTCTTCCCCGTCATCACTCGGGGTCCTTGTTCTCTTTTCATTATACATACTACAACACCTTACTAATATATACCCTTCGACCCCCTACTACCCCTACCCCTTGCTATGTATATATACACATATATACATACGGACATACACACACGCAGACACATCCCTCACCGCTGTCCCCGGGATTCCCCAGGCCTCTAGCCGCTTGAGAGGCCACTCCAGCTGCCGTACGGCCTATTGCCGCCAGGAAATGGCCCACGGAAACGGATGGACGAGCATAGAAGATCTCCGTGGGGGACAAAACCTGCCCGGGGAGGATGGCGCGGGTGAGGAGACATATAAACATACACACAAACCCGGCGGTTCGTGCCGCCCGAATGCACCATCAGACCAGGACGCTGATGCTCCGGAGCCGCACTTTGCGGCCGAGGGAGGGAAACTCATGCGAAGAACTTAAGAGATAATCTGCCGGCGTCCCAAGTCCCCCCCCAAAGAGCCTGAGGGGCCCCAGTCAAAACAAAAAATGATGCAAGAGGAAGCAACGGACCAAGTGCCGACGTCCGCGTGGTGAGGAGGGGCGCTTCTAGACAAACCACTGGCGGGTAAAGGAGATAGCAGAAAGGAAGGATGGTGGGAGGAAATCATACATACATACATACATACATTCTGAAGTCGGATGGGGTGACGGATTAGGGTGCCCCTCTAGCAGGGGAGAGCAGGGACTGCCCCGGGAAAGGGGGCCGCTGGCGAAGTTAACCACCCTGTAACAACATACATGTGCAGGAGGAACTCAGAAATTAGCTAAGCGGGAAAACGCGTCCCAATTCCGAAACTGCACCTAGGAGTGAGTCCTAAGCGGTGATGTGACGTCATCAACCACCCCCCGTGGGAGGGGGGTGGGGGGTGGGAGGGGGGGAAATGGCGGGAACCGGCTACGATTCCCCGGGAACCCGGAGGAGGCGGGGGCGAATCGGAATCAGTTCAAGACACGGATGCGGCAGCGGACGTGTGTGTGTGTGGGGGGGGGGGGGAAGGGTGTTGCGAAGAAAAGGACTCCGCACTCTCCGCAGGACTCCGCACTCTCTCTCCCTCCGTCCGCCTTGGTGCCCTCTTGTATGGCTTGCACCCATACGACCAACCACCCCCCCAGCCAACCACCTCCGCCCCCCCCTCTCCTGCGTACCTCGTACTCCCGGACGCTGCTCTCCTGTCCCGCCTCCGAAACCAGCCGCGACAACAGCGCCACAGCCGCCGCCGCCACCCCGCCACCACCGCCGTACCACTGGCCCCCTCGTCCCTCCATGTCCCCCTCCTGGCCCCCCTGCCCCGCCATGTGAGTGTCGCGCTGGTGGGCCTGCAGGCGGTGCAGCGCCCCAACCACTGCCAGCTTCTCAGAGTTCTCGATTAGGACTCTGAATGCGGCGGGGGGGAGAGGGGGGAGAGGAGGGAGAGGGGGGGGACAAAGGGGAGAGGATGATGGAAGGAGGTGAAAGGGAACACACGAGCAAACCCAAAGCGGGAGGGGGGTTGCACGTATTCTTCAGCTGTCGGTCAGCCAGGGAAACGGCTGACCGTGTCCGAGAATGGGGGCGGAGGAGGAAAACATGAGTACATGCAACATGCAAAAACGATTCCGAGCGTCGACGTTGAAAGCGAACAAGCAAGCAGCTGCCTGTACTGTAGCTCCCAGCAAGGTCCCAAGAGAACCCTCTGATTGGTGAACTGAGTGATAGCACCCACCCACCCAACCCCCCTCACACCCACACACACGTACACAGACACATGCGCGCGTATACCTGAGCACCTCCGGCTCCAGCACATGCAGCACCCCGCTCAGAGCCAAGCACTGCAACATCAAGGAGTGACGGGACTCCTTGTCAGACAGCTGCTCAGTTACTGTTAGCGGCACGCCGCTGCCGCCGGCCCCGCCACCGCCGCCAACACCCACGCCGCCAGCCACCACCACCGCCGCCGCACTCCCCGCCGCCCACTGCTTAGGCAGCAGGTCCAGCAACTGAGTGCTGTAATGGGCCAATGTGGACTGACCCATGGGACTGTCCAGAGCGCCGAGGGCGCCCAGCCGCCGGCCCAGACCGCTAGCCACAGGCTGCAGGTTGCCGCCAGCAGCGGTGATGGCGGCGGCCTGTGATAGTACGGCGTCCAGCAGGTTGGCGATTACTGCCGCCAGGTCGAGGCCGCCGCTGACGGTGGCGAGCGGAGCCGCCGCCGGCGCTGCCGCGACGGCGGCAATTTCCATGACTCCGTACGTCGCGGAGAGTACGACCCAACGGGAGGCGGCGTCGGCGGCGTCGCCAGCGGCGATGTCCACAGCTGCGGTGTCCGGGTCGTCTGAGAGAGGCCTGGCGGTGCCGGAGGTGGCCTCCCAGGTCCATAAGGCCCGACACACCCTGGCGCCGCCGCTGCCGCTGGCCATGTCGGTTCCCCCCGGGTAGTGCTGTGCGACCTGGAAGGCCTGGGCTCCCTGGAGCAGGCTCCCCGGGTGCTGCTCCCACCTAGCCAGGAGGCAGGTGTGGGAGTGGCCCGAGTAGAGCAGACGGCGGCGGGTGGCGGCGGTGCTGTCCAGAGGCTGTGGACCCAGGTGGAATATCAGTAGCAGTTGCAGTCGCAGTGGCAGCGGCAGCACCACCAGCGGAGTTGGGGGGTAGGGGCCGGAAGGCGGGGAGGGAAAATTATTTATGATCTGAAACCCGCTGACGTGTACACGCGGTTAAAACAACCCGTGAAAGAAGACAGGGAGCAAAACTGATGGGCAAGACAGGCAGGCAGGGAGGGAGATACCAAAAGCAAATCACCGTGCACAACACACAACACACACGCACATACACACGTGGTTTAGCCCGGCAACGACAGGTAAACCCATCTCCCCGCCTCCTCCCCTCCCCCCAACCAGCCACCCCCTCCCCCCCGCTCACCTCCTCGTACCCCCGCACCAGGTCCTGCACCCCCCCGCACACTGCGGGACCCCCCTCGGGAAGCAGCTCCAGCCTATCCGGGACGGTGGGTGGCGGCAGGGGCGGTGGGAAGGGCACCCAGGAACAAGACAAGTAAACCAGGAAGGAGCGGGGACGGGGTTGAGGGCCGGGGGGGGGGGAAGACGAACCACGAGCGAGTGAAGCTGCTGCCAAGGAAAGAGTGTGCAAGAAGCAGAACTGACCAGTAGGGCCGGGTTGGGGGTTTGGGGACGAAGGAATGGAAGGAAGGAACCTGCACAACCAATCCGAGTAAGGCGCATGACGGTGCGATCACGCGAATAAAGGAGTGGGGTTGGGGTTCTGGTACCCCCCGTGGCCTTGTCCGGGAGGTGAGCAGGCAAGGGACCACCCCCAAGGGGGGCATCATGTGACGCAAAATGATAGCCATAAACCAAAAAGGACTCGTTCCCCGTCCCCCGACGGACTCACAGCTGTACGACATGCTGTTTCAGCTCCCCGACCTGCCCCGCGGCTCCTCCTCCTCCTCCACTTCCAGCTCCTCCTCCTCCTCCTCCTCCAGATATCGCCGTGGCCGAGGCAGCCCCCCGGAAGGCCGCCTCCGTCATCCACACCGCCACATGCTGGCCCCCGCCCTGACACCCCCCTCCGCCTCCGCCTCCCCCCACCCCCACCGCCAAGTCCAAGTTCACCGGGCCCCCTCCCCCCCGCCGGTTATCGTGCTGGCGAACCAGGCAGTTGGCAAAGGACCACATCAGGGTCTCCGAGGGCCGCAAACCCACACGGATCTGCGGTGAGGAGGAGGTACAGGGTGTACGGGCGTGGGTGTGTCAGTAGGGTGGGTGCGGACTGGAAGCGGGTATGATAGTGGCTGGGTGGTGGTGGTGGTGATGAGGAGTGGGCGTTGGGAACCGAACCCCTCCCCCTCACAGCCCCTTCCCTTCGTGTCCCCTGAACGTCACCCACCCTTGGCATCTTACTCCACGTGCTTCCCCTCCCCAAGTTCCCCCTCCCACCGTCCAGCAGTCGAGGGAGTCCTGCGTCAGCACCAGCAGCCGGTAGTGCAGCCCGCCTCCCGCCGCCGCCGGGGCCAGGTGCAGCGCCACCGCCGGCCGGGCGGCGGGGGTCTTGCGCAAGTAGCGAGAGGACGGCTCGAACGCGTCCGTCAGTGCGCGGCTCAGCACACTGCCCAGGGCCCCCACAAGACCGCGGCTCTCCGCCGCTGGCGTCGGCGCCGCCACCAGCTGCTTGCTAAAGATCCCCTGGGCGCCTCCCTGGACCAGATGTAGGGAGCCGTCCGCGGCGGATAGCGTGGCGAGGAAGGCGGGACCGGAGCCCAGGTCGAGGCGCGCGGCAGTGAAGGCCGATACTAGGGGCGGGCGAGAGCCGACCGCGGCCGCAGCCGTGTCGGAGGTGAGCGAGGGGGAGATGAGCAGCAGGTGCTCGACGGGAGCGGCTAGGTGGTGTGCGTCTAGCCAGACAGTGAGGCGGCCGTCGGCGTCGCAGACGGCGACGGTGAGGGAGCTGTCGGCGGCTGCAGGACCGGGGTGTGCAGCGGCGGTGGTGTGTGGGGAGATGATCGCGCTGAGGGAGGTCGCGGTGGCGCCTGAAGGGACGAGAGGGAGGCTGTCTGCGAGGAGGGCGACGGTGCAGGGCTGGGTGGGCTGCCGGGGTAGCGTCAGGACGCGAAGACGCGCTTCCTTGCCCTCGCGATAGCGCCAGACGTAGAGCTGCTTGTCGGACAGCAGCCAGGCGAAGCCCGAGTCGCCGCGCACACCGCACTGCTGCTGGCCGCCGGGCTGCTGGAGTAACTCCAGCACGACGCGCGGCAGCATGTATGCGCCGAGAGTGTCGCCGAAAAAGGGCATGGCTTCCAATGCCGTTACAGGCAGTCCAAGAGCAAGAGCGTCAACGCTGGAATGATGTCACTTTGTGGCGGAGGCCAGACTTCACTAAATGCCCGAAATTGCGCCGCCCCACGTTGGCGACCTCCGTCCCGTGGCACCCCCTACAAAATATTCTTATCCGTCTAATACTTATTAATATAACATGATTGCGGCGAAAAAGAGGAGAGACAAGATATTCGGCAAATTGAAGTGCGACCCTGTCGATCGCCCGCTTCTAGGCTCGACACGTTTCGCAAAAGGTTACATAGAGTATAGTTCGTTGACAAATGTCGCTTCCGTTTGGAAAGTTACAAAGAATGTTTGCGATCCAAATGAGTTCGTGTTTTGGCGCGCAGCACGGCACACGGCAGGATAGCGAATGCCCTCCGCTCCCCTTCGTTTCCCTGTACCCTCCCCGCCCTTTTTCTATTTGCTTATTCATTCCATAACCAGCGGCAGAAGCCACCCTACAGCTGCTGCTGCGGAGGGCATCATAAAGGCCTCAGCTTCTGCTACCTCAGACTCAGACGCTCTCTCAGAGCTGTAGTAAGATTTGTTGGGAAATCCTACGTAGATTAAAAAAGCAACCCGGAACAGCAGTCCTCTAAAAACAGTGTTTCAAGATAACCGCTCATAACGACCTTGCCGACGAACCCAGTTCCCACAGGGCACCAACCGAGCAAAGCAAACACTGCATGGATAGAAGCTCGCGATACTCACTTTCATAATTCCTTTGCTTATCTTAGAATTGGAACAGAGAATTTTTTTTAAAGTAATGCTAGGCGCCTCTTGCGGCAACCCCTCCATTCTGCCAGAAGCAAAATTACCGAGGCTGTGACCAAAACATACACGATATGGACGGCCTGACCGGCGCAGCTGCGGTGCTAGGCCCGGGCTGCCGCAACACTGCGACCGCCTGGCTGACGCACCTTAAGGACCAACCCGCACAACTTTACATTGCGGGTGGGGGTCGGTGGGGTCTGACGCTGGAACGACTCACGCAGGTGAGGGCGCCAATCATCACCCATTTCACCAGCCCAACCTCTCCCCATTCAGCACGCCGGACATACCTACATGCATTGTGTTTGCCGCGCTCCCTTATCCATCAGGCACTCCCAACCGCCACACCTCCAACCGTTCCCCACACCCATTCCCAATCCCACCTCCCAGGAAGCCGCTGATGGAGGCGGCGATCGGAGCACCGTGCCCCTGGATGCGCAGCGCCCTCCGCTGCTGCTGCGCCCACTGCCCGCTCTGCACTCCCTAGTGGCGTGCTACCCCAGTCCCTCCCCCACCTCCACACCTGCACCCGGCTCGGCGAGCCCGAACCACAGTACCCGCCCTGGTCCAGCTCTCCAGCAGCAGCAGCAGGCGCAGCCGCAGCAGTCAGGCGCTGCATCCCCACACCGAGCGCGAGGCCGAGCCCCAGCGGCCGGGCTGGCGTGGGGCTGCGAGTCTACTGGACCCGCGGTCCCTGCCCCTGGCCCCCGGCTGGCTATCCTGACCCTCCCTCCGGCCTACTGGCAGCGTAGCAGCCCGGGTCGGGAGCTACAAGGGCGCAGAGGACAGCAGCAGCAGCGGGCGGGCCGGTGTGCGGCGGTGTCCCAGTGGCTGGTGGAGCGGATGCGACTGGAGGGCGGTGAGCAGGGTGCAGCTGTAGGCGGGGGCGACTGCAGGGGTGCGACTGCCAGGGGGTGAGCAGTGAGTGAAGGGGAGGGCGGACCGGCAGCCTCCGGTCGGCACGTTCGAAACACAGCTACACATGCCAACGCAGCTCTTCCTCTGTCCCCACACGCCCTTGCTGCCCCGCCCTTTGCCTTCCCCAAGCTTTCTTTGATATCCCCCCCCATTGATCCCCCCCCTCCATCTGGGGGCCATTGGGGTCCCTGGCGGCCCCCTCTCCTCACCAGTGCCCGACCCCGTAGTCCTCTAAATGTACTCTCTTTCCTCCTTAACCATACTCCTCCTCCTTCCGCCCTGACTGTCCCGTCTCCTCCCCGTCAGGTAGCCCCGGCTTCTCGCTGGTGCCGCGCACCTGCACCGGAGCCAGCCACTTCCAGGGTCAGGGCTCCGGAGCCGCCACCACAGCCAACACACAGCCCAACCTCCAACAGCAACAACAACAGCAACCGCTCCAGCACCCGCGCCTGCGTTCAGACCCCAGCCAACCCCAGGTCAAACGCGCCCGGCTCAGGGCCCCGGCTTCTGCTGCAGCCATGGCTACGGCGGCGGCGGCAGTAGTGGCGGCCGCAGCACCTGTTCCGAGCACCCAGCCTGGGGGTTGTCCCGGAGGAGTAGCAGCAGCACCAGAAGGCAGTAGCAGCAGCAGCCATATAGGGCCCTCAGAGCACTACTGTACAGCTGGTGGCGGCGGAGGCGGAGGCGGAGGTGGTTCACCGGCGCACTATCGCGTCCAAGACGCCGCCCCGGCCCCGGCGGAACCGTCCTGCCCCTGGAGCGTGTACGAGCCACCGACGCCGCCGGGCCTGCCAACGCCGCCACTGCTTCGTCACCCCGACGCTACTTGCGCCTTATGCCTGGAGAGCTGGACGGAGCCGCTCAGCCGTACGCTGGCGGAGCCGCCGGCAGCGGCGGCGGCAGCCGCCAAGGGCGGATACGGCGGGGACGGCGCTTCCGTGGACAACACCGCTGCTACTGCCGCCTGGTGCCGACTGCCGCCGCTACAGCAGCTGGCGTTTCTGTGCAGCTGCGACCACACCGTCGTAACGCCGGAGCTCTATCGGGGCCTGCTCACGCCTTCATTATCATCATCGTCATCCACCGCCGCAGCCGCCGCTGCCGGGCCAGCAGGGGCGGGAGCGGTGGCGAGGGCCCAGCTGCCAGCTTCCGCCCCGGGCCAGCCTCCTCCCACTGCAGCCGCCGGGCCCCCTGCCTCCGTCCCCGCCGCCCAACTGCCCTGGGGCTGCTTCCTGCTTGGCACCAGCAGCGGCCAGCTGTGGGCGCATCCCCTGGACCCCCTGGACCCGCTGGGGCCGCCGGAGGTGGGAGCGGAGCGGGCCCGGGAGGTGACGGAGCCGCGCGGCCTGGGACAGCACCAGCACCGGCACCGGCAGGGGATGACATCCCGGGAGGTGCCTCCCGGGAGGAGGGGAGGGGTTGCAGAGGCCCGGGAGGGAGCTGGCGGAGGTGGTGGAGGCCGGGGCCCGGTGCTGCTGCTGGACCTTCAGGAGCCGCTGGTGGCCCTGCTGCCGGTGGTGGCGCTCCGAAACCACCAGCGGGGCAGGGGCGTGAGGAAAGGGGAGAGGGAGAGCGAGAGGGACGTCGGCATGGCGGAGGCGGAAGGAGAGGGTGATGGTGCGGCTATGCGTGTGACTAAGGAGGAGGAGGCGGAGCCGGAGGAGGAGGAGGAGGAGTGTACGGCGGCGGCTGCCTTGGTCGTTGTGGGGTCACGGGGCCGGGTGGTGGCGCTGAGTCCAGCCCCGGCGGCTGCGGCCGTTGTTGCTCAGGAAGCCTCTTCGGAGCTCGGGGTCCTCGCTGGGGGAGTGGGACTGGGCGGCGGGGTGCCGCCAGCCGGCAGTGCCACCGCTCGCGGACTGGAGGTGCTCAGGAGCTTCAGTGAGAGGGGGGGTCGGGGCGGGGTGGGGGTCAAAAGGGGGGTAGGTGCCTATGTGCTAAGGTTACAAGTTACAAGTTCCGCACACAAGTGCGGGTGTGTCCGTAAAAGCCGAGGGGGCCATGGACGTTGAAGGAAAGGAGGGAGAAGGGGGGAGGGAGACTTTCCATCGCTTGCAACATGGTCGGTAACCCTTTCTCTCCTGTCCCGTACTCTCCGGATGCGTCTAATTTCCCGTGAGGCACATTGACGCAGAAATGGTTACTGGGTTGCCGGTGGGGGCGGAGGGACTTGGCGATGTTGGAAGGAAGGGGGTTTCAGGCCATGTGTGTGCGCCGTTGGGGACGTGGTAGCCGGTAGCCCCGCATCGGGACGGGGAGTAGGGTATTAAGATGGGCAGGGGAGATTGCCAGGCCCGGGGGCATACATACATACTAGGGTTTGGCACTACTGGTAAGGCGCGACCATTGCCTCCGGGAGATCCCGGCCATTAGGGTCAAAAGTCCTTCCGATGGTGGAAGGCATTGCGCCCCTAGTTGATGGACGGTGGTGACCTGGGATAAAGTTAACCTGCGAGCCGACCAGGAATGGAGTTGGGCCGCTGTCGACCCGGCAGATTCCGTTGGATGCTGGTGGTGGGTGCGGAACCTGAGCGATCCACTGAGAAGTTGACTAGGGTGACTGGATGAGGGTGCCCCGAAATACCGGGGAAGGCAGGGTTTCGCAGGGTAGCTGCCACGGGCGAAGATACACCCCCCTGTTTCACACATCATACATACATACATACATACATACATACATACATACATACATACATACATACATACATACATACATACATACATACACGTTCTTCCCTTTGCCCGCTTCCTTCTTCCCCCCCGCGCTCTCTCCCTCATTCCCCCGTTTGGCGCACTGCAGCTAATCCCCCGACTCGAACACGTTGCTGTCCTGATAGCTGGAACCTGCGGGTTCTTCTTCTGACTCCCCGCCCCTTCCCCCCGCCCTTTCCCTCCCCCTCTTCCCCCCCTCCAGGCCTGCTGACAGGCACCCGCCTCCGCCTCCTCCACTCCCGGGAGTGGCAGCTGGGGGCCCCTGTCGCGGCCGCCGCAATGACGGCCGCAGGGGCCCTCGTGTGGACCTCCCCCACCTCCTCGGGCTCCCGCTCCCGCTCCAGGGGCGGGGGCAGGGGGGTGGGGGTACTGGCAGCACAGCTGGTGGCTCGGGACGTGGCGGAGGCAGGTGCTTGGGGGGTTTAGAAGGGGTAGAAGAAGAGCCGCTGTGAAGGGAGCGGAGGAGAAAGAGGTCGTCCGGATCGAAGGGGCGGCTCAGGGCGGCTTGGTTGGGAGCCAGCAACTGCGTAGGTGTGTGTGTGTGTATGAGGATGCCATGTCATGGTGCTTATTTTTGGCGTCGTTAGACTGATGTGCGTTACTGCCGACGTTGCGTTCCCACCCAGGTTCGAATCCGTCCGGGAGCGGCATCACGTTCGTGTCGGAGTTATGGCCGCTGCGCCTGCCAGCGCCGCCCAGTGTGCGCCACCTCGCCCCCTGCCACGGCGCCCCCCACCACGTGCTGGCGCTCTGCCGGGACGGAGCAGCAGTCATGTTGCAGGCGGAGATGCCCCCACCGCCATCCGCACCACCGCCAATGTCAACAAGGCAAGCAGGCACCGCCCCTGGAGCAGTGCCCGCTCGCGCCGCCGCCGCCGCCGCCACCAGTGGCGGCGCCGTCAGCGGGTGCGCCGCAGGGCTTCTGGCGGCGATGGTCTGGAGCGGTGCGGCCGCAGGGAACGGTGGCGGCGGCGGTGGCGAGCCTTGTTGGGTGGTGAGCCGGGGCCCCGCTGTGCAGCAGCAGTTGCGTCTGCTGCTGGGTGGCCTGGTGCGGCTGGGCGGGTACGAGGCGGTGCTGCGGAGGGCGATGGCGGCGCAGTGGGCGGCGTTCCGCCGGGCAGCTCAGGTGGGAAGGGATTGGAGGGGGGATTCCCGCTCTTTATTACGCGGTGTAAGTTTAGTACTAAGGAGGGTTGGTATGTGTGTGTATGTGTGTGTATGTGTGTGTATATGTGTATGTGTGTGTATATGTGTATGTGTGTGTATATGGAAGACGACGTGGTGCGAGAGGAAGCAAAGGGCTGCGGGGTGCCAAGGAGGTAAGGGAGGGGGGGACGGAACTGCGAAGGTCTAAATGAGTACGGAGTACGGCACGTCAGGTGCGGGGGTGAAGCTCAGCTTACATGCCAGGTGAACTTCCATGCATGGGCAACCCGCCGCCATCCGACTTCCCTCATCCCGCGCCGGCTGCCGTTCGGAATCCCCGCTCCGCCATAACACCCGGCCCCATGCACACATACACACACATACACACACATACACACACATACACACACATACACACACATATACACACATACACACACATACACACACATACACACACATACACACACATACACACACATACACACACATACACACACATACACACACATACACACACATACACACACATACACACACATACACACACATAAACACACATAAACACACATACACACACATACACACACATACACACACATACACACACATACACACACATACACACACATACACACACATACACACACATACACACACATACACACACATACACACACATACACACACATACACACACATACACACACATACACACACATACACACACATACACACACATACACACACATACACACACATACACACACATACACACACATACACACACATATACACACATACACACACATACACACACATACACACACATACACACACATACACACACATACACACACATACACACACATACACACACATACACACACATACACACGCACTCGGCCGCGCAGGATTTACCCATCGTCCGCAGCCAGAGCACATCAGCTCCCGCCCTCCGCTGCCGCATCTCGCCACACATGCTGTTGCCGGCTAATGGCGGCGGCGGGGGCCCCACCGGGACCACCGGCAGCAACATCGCCGCCGCCGCGGCGCCAGGCTTCTCAAGCGCCGTACAGTTGTGCGTAGAGGTCGACCTTGTAGCGGGATCCGGAGCCACTCGAGGATCAGGACCGGGTTTCGGAGCGGCGGCAGCGGTGGCGGCCTCACCCTCAGGCCATCTGCTCCTCCGCTTCCTACCCCACGACCCCGGCTTGCCCTCCTCCTCCGTCGCCATTCCCCTGTGTCACGGACAGCCCCTGCCGTTGCGACGCAGAGTGCTACTGCCGCTGCCGGCCCGGGCCCAGTCCCGCGCTGCAGCTACGGCTACAGCCACAGGCGCCGCCGTCACCGGCAGCTGGCTACTGCCATCGATGCAGCCGTCGGCGTCGCAGCTACAGCCCGTGGGCGGTACCCTGCAGGCGGTGTGGGTGCGTGTCTCTGAGACCTCGGCGGTGGTGAGGCCGTGTGAGGGCCACCGGGGAAAGGGGGAGGGGGATGGGGAGGCGGAGCGGAGGTCCGTAAGCTATCCTTGGGGGCTGAGCCCCCGGGCAGTCCGCCGCCGCCACCGCACCGGTTATTGCCGTGCTATTGCGACGCCGCTTGCTGCCGCCACTGCTACGGCTGCTGCTACTGCGGTGATACTGCTTGACCAGCAGCTCATTACGACCGCAGCGCTGCTGCAGCTACCCGCAACTGTGGCGGCGCTGGGGCTGTCGGCGCCGTCCTATGGGCCCCCTGTGGCGGCATCATCATCACCGCATGTGGTGGCAGGGGACGGAGGCGCAGCTGGCGGGGGCGCATCCGGATTAGGCGGATGGCTGTACGGGCCAGGGGCGGCACCCAGTTCGGGGCTGGGGCTGGGGCTGGGGCTGATCTCTCAGGCCCTGGGATACCGGCGGTCCGTGCAGCTGCTACTGCGGCTACCGCCCCGGGATAAAGTGGGCAGCAGTAGCGAAGCTGTAGCGCCTGGTGGCGGCAAGAGCACCGTAGACGCTGCACGCCCGCGGCTACAGCCTCCGCTGCAGCAATCGTGGGCTGAGACAGCGCTGCGGCAGCAGCTGGCGGCCCTGCTGCGCCGTGGGTTGCTACTGCCGGAAGCACAGGAGCTACCGACAGCACAGGGCCCTCGAGGCGCCGTACAGCTGTGCGGCGGACGGGCTGAGGTGAGCTGGAGCTGGCGCTGGAGCTGGCACTCGGGGGCTACTGCCCGCCAAGATTCGCGGCCCATGGGCGGCAATGCGGCAGTCGCAGTAGCAGCAGCAGCAGCAGCAACAGCGGGTGCTGCGGCATGCGAGGCGCCCCTGTTGGGAAGCCCCGGGGGGCAGCAGCGAGCGCTACAGCGGGGCCCGGGGCTACAGGGCTCGGGGCTGGCGAGGGTAGTGGCGGGAGAAAGTGAGCAACAGGGGCTGCCGGCCAACGCAGTGGAGATCTCTCTGGAGCTGAGGGCGGACTGCCCCGGACTGCTGGCCTCACTGCATGCCGCGCTGCAGGCGGCTTGGATGGACAGCTGTAGCACCAACGACAGTGGTGGTGGTGGTGCCGGTGGCGGTGGGGTTGCGGTCGCAGCGGCCAGTTCCAGTCGCAACTTCGTGGGCGGAGGGGGCGGAGGGGGAGGCGGGGGGTTGGGGTTGCGCGGTCCTGTAGATGCTGCTACAGCTGTGGGCGGTGAGGCGGGTGGCTGTAGCGGGCGGCGGCAGTGCCGGGGGGCTTTGCAGTCGGGGGAGAAGCTGCGGGAGGCGATTCGGACGCTGCGGAGGTTGTCTGCGGCGGTGCAGCGGGCTAGGGAGCGGCAGCGGCAGCTGCTGGGAAGTGCTGCAGCGTTGAGGGTGCAGAGCGAGAGAAAGGGGCAGGGGGATCCTGGACGACAGCAACAGGGGCAGCAGGGGCAATGTGGGGAAGGGTGCTGGCCGGGGGTCGGAGAAGTGGGAGGCGAGCAGGACGAGGGGATGGAGAGGGAGGAGATGGTGGAGGGGCAGCAGGACGAGGGGAAGGCAGCGGAGGCCACCGTGCGGCTGGCGCAGGAGCTGCGGATGGCCCTGGTGGACGCTTACGTGCAGTACGGGGACGTGGCTGCATCTTGCATGCTGCTGGAAGTGACGTGAGCAAAGAGGGTTGAAGCAAGGACGGAGAGGTACATAGGTGGTCTTCCAGCGGTCCAGGTGGTTTCGACAGTTTCCGACTACCAACAATGTATGCCTTACGAAAGACCTTCCAAGGAATTGTGTGTGTCCAGTGTCTTGCATTTTTAACAGATATGGTATAAGATTTCATTTATGTAGTTAGCTAAGGCTTCGTGACTTACACAGCGACATGGTTATCGCATGACGATGTCTTTGCTCTGGTGAACATTCATCTTGGTGCCGGACACCAAATTGCTTGCGGCAAGGGCATCAAGCCTTATGACTTTGGCAAACGACAGCCGTGATGGCCAGCAGCCGCCTGCGATTACAGTTGATGTGGGAGAAAAACCCGTGCAAGCTCCTACGTCTGTTGTGCTCGATTACTTCCGAAAATGGAAGGGTGGAACCGATACACCACTTCCCCGGGAGCCATTACGCAACTTAGCAGTCTCATGGGCTGGCGCATTTATTGCCATCCTCGTAGTCGCTGCTCTCGACCAGTACGCAGGTGAGAGCACCTCAAACCTCTTAGCAAAGCCACTCTTACGTAAAGTCTGAAGTGACATATCTCAAATGTTTGGTCTCGCGGCTCATGGGCCGTACTGCTGCCCCGTAATGGCCCTGCCCGGTGGTTGTGTGCGTCAGGACCTGAGATGCATTTCAGATGGCTGATCGCGCCCTTGGGCGCCAGCGCGGTTCTCATGTTCGGACTGCCCACAGCCAAGCTTTCGCAACCTCGCAACGTCATAGGTGCGTGCTGTTCCCTCGTATTGGCCTCGTGCCGCAAGGCCGCTGCCCAGCCCCCATGTCTTTTGACTGCTGTCTGCCTCACCCTCCTCCTCCCCCTCCTACGCCTCCTACGCGGTACTGCACAACGCATTATGTGAGAACGTGCGGACATGCATATTTCCTTATTGCCATCATCAGCATCACCATCAGCAGCATCACCATCAGCAGCATCACCATCATCAGGGCCAAAACACCCGACCCGACTCCCTTCCCCATCTCCGTTGGCCCCCTTCCCCCTTCCCCCCCTTTTGATCTTGCCTACACACCCCTCCCCCCGGCCCCCGCAGGCGGCCACACCTGCAGCGCCCTGGTCGGCATCCTGGTGCGGCTCATCATTCAGCCCCAGTACGGGGGAGGCCGCGCGGACTGCCTGTCAGCCGCCCTCGGCATGTCCCTCGCGCTGACCGCCATGCAGGCCACCGGAACAACTCACCCGCCAGGTGGGGACCGCGGGAAAGGGGGGAACTCCGGGGTGAGGAGGGCTCTCAGGCGTCCAGGGCCAGGGATATCACGGCGGGGTCAAAGTCGTTAGGGCCGTAGGAGCCTATGGGCTGTGCGGGAGGATGTTAATAGGTTGGAACACCAGTCAGGATGTCGGTCAGCCCTGCCGGGGCCCTGGTGTGTGTGTGGAGTGGAAGGGGGCATGCCCCTGTCCTGGCGAAGGCCGCCTCAATGTGGGGCCCTACCTACCTGCCCAGCTGCCTGGGCCGGTCGCAGTGCTGCACATACTGCGACCCACGGGTTACACCTAGGTGCGGGGTCTCTGCTGCTGGGCGGGCGCCCCTCCCCGCCTGTCACCTCCCCATGTCACCACAACTGCCCTCCAGCTGCTCACCCGTCCGCCGCCCCGTATCCCCGGGTGACAAAACACACGTGCATACATTCTCTAGCGCTGAAGGCGGTGGTTTCGGTGGTGGTGGTGGTGGTGGTGGTACCAGATGGTATTCCTGCTGCTGCTGGAACCGCTGCCGCTAGCCGCCCTACCTCCCTTACGCCCCAGGTACCGGGTACCTTACCTTTCCCCTCCCCTCCCCTCCCTCCCCGCAGCCGGCGCCACAGGTCTCATCGCGGCCTACGCCGACCCCATCCCCGACTGGAGGGGCTTCAAGTTCCTGCTGAGCGCCCTGGCGGGGTCCAGTGTGATGGTGGGGGTGACCCTGCTGTTCAATAACCTGGTGCCGGGAAGGAGGTACCCGACGTTCTGGTGAACCAGGGGGGGAGGAAGAGGGGGTAGGGGGAATAGCTGGCGAGTGGGGCCAGTGGTACCAGAAATAGACGGAGAGGTAAAAGGGGGTATTAAGAGGGGATGAGGGTGTGGGGGTTGGAGCTCCGGTCTGCCGCCGGACAGCGGCGGCGTGTGAGGACAGTGGCTTTGGTGTCCAGTGGGACTGGAGGAGGGGAAGGAGGGGGAGGAAGGGGAAGTGGATGGATGGGGGTTGGATAGAAAGGGAGGGAGGGGCGGGGCGGGGCCAGGAGGGGGCCCAATGGTGCAGGGGGCTGTGCCCCGGGGTAGACAGGAAGGGGGCGGCAGGCAGCTGCGGATCGCTTTGGGGGAGTTCAAGACGTGGGTGGATGGCGGCGTGACAAGGGCGGGTTGTGAAGTGCGCGCTGACTCTCTCCTCGGATGATGGGTGAATGAGCGCCGCTGCGTGCATGATCGTATGCATGCATGAACGTATGTATGCATGTACGTGTTTGTCAGTATGTTTAACTGTGATAATGATTGTTAGTATGGCCTACATGTCGGCCAACAATAGGGTTGTTATTAACTTGACAGGGTAGTCGGCGACTGCATATGACTGGGGAAGGGGTATCGCCGGCGATGCGGACAGGGCGGAATGTGTTTTGGTTTCTCGACGCGATGATACAGAGCTACTGATTCGCGATCGCGACTGAGGGCCTCCGAAGGCTGTCTGGATGGCTCCAAGTGCTGCTAGAGGGCTTGTGATTGTACGTGGTAGGTAGGGCCGGGCTTTTGTAAAACGAGGAATGGCGCAACCAACCCAAATGCGTTGGAACGTTGCTCGGGAGGCGGCTTTGCTTGATATATTATATGTCTGCACGGAAAGGTGGGCTGGTGTGATGGGGATCGGGATGTTGGGTGCAAGCTGCGGGGTGCCCTCGGGTTGGCGACCCAGCCGAAGATGTACCATATGACGGACTCTTCCTATGGCACATGAACAGTCCTGCGGACAGTCGGTGGACTAACAGTTTAAATTAAAATGCCATCCGTGGTTCCATCTTCCATGATGCCATGGGCTCGACCTGCGAGGTGGCGGTTGTTCCGTTGCGATGGCTTTTGAAAGTACTTTGCCTATTACCCCCTACCTTGCTTTGGTGTGTAATGCGGGCCAATAAAGGGGCCAAGCTTTGACTGATGAAGGACAGGCTGTGTACAGGGATGTTGGGATGAGCAAGGAAGAAGGAACTAGGGCTCGGCAGTTTGCATTCCGGTGCAACGAGCAACGGCCGAGGCCGCGAGGCCAAACCGTGCCCTACTTCCAGCTCAAACCCCACGCATCGGGTTCCGAAGATTGGAAATAAATGTGTTCGTTTTATCAGGAGGTGTGATTGCTGGCGTGTGGCTGAAGTGAGGCCGGCCTGCACGGCTGCTGCAATGACTGGATGTTTGCAGCCATGACCGCCAAAAGTCCTAATGATACAAGCAGAGTAATGCCGCTGCTTCAAGGCGAAGAGACGCCGCGCTGGAAGCAGCGGCTGCAAAATGTCCAGTGAGTCGAAGTGTGTTGCCTACAACTAAGCGAAACGATGTACGCTTTAAATACATGTTTCTTGGTGGTTTTGCATTTGGCTGAAATTTAAGGACAGCCCAGAACCGTTCACCGTCTGGCAACAGCTGCCAATCCCGAATACATCAAGTAAGACTTCTCATCAGGTCTCTGCTCCCGGTGGACCTGTAACTTACAGGACTTTCGTCGTTGAGAACTACCTCCCCATAGCCTTTGCCGTGGCATTGACCTTTGCGCTGGCGTATCCTGTGCCTGGCCGCTTCTTGGTAAACATCGTGGTGGCAAACAATGTCCACATCATCCAGGTGAGATGAAGCAAGGTGCGGTGAGATAACGTGGCGTGAGGTGCGCGAGGCGAAGGGGGTTTTCCCCCGCGGCTTATGCCTGATGCCGGCCGGAGGGGTCAGCAGCGCCACGCCAGGGTTATCACCCCTCCCCCACTTCACCCTACCACCCTACCATCCTCCTTTACAACCCCTCCTCTCCCGCTTCCCTCCCCTTCCCATCTCACCCCACCCCTCACCCCAGTTGACCGCCCCCAGCTCAGCTTACCCTTTCCCCAGCTCCTCCTCCCCCTTGCACCCTATTTACCCTTTCTTCCACCTCCTCTGCCCCCCCTTCCATCCCCCACCATGCCAGGAAGTCAATATGGCCATCGTGTTCTTCATCAGCGGTCTGGTCCTCAACACCTCGGAGCTGCGGAAAGCCATGGGTCGCGACAGCTGGCCCGCAGTGGCGTTCGGGTTCGCCATGATCTTGCTGGTCACACCCGCCCTGGGTTTCGCCATGAGGGAGATACCCCTGACGCCGCCGGCGTTCTCTGTGGGTAAGTGAATGGGCCTTATGTGTGTGTGGAGGAGGGCGGGGTGGGTGGGGGGAGATTGGGTTAGTGTGTGTGTGTGTGTGGAGCTGGGGGGCTGCGGTTGACAGAGGTGTACCTCCGTTTCCGGTGCTTCTCTTCGTCTTTCATTTTTTGATAATCCTTCTTCTTCTCCTTCTTCCACTTCTTCTCCGTCTTCTTCCTGCTGCGCTCTACCCTGGTTTGGTGACTTGGTTGCGTTTGCTCCAGCTCCTGGACCGCCGGTGCCCCCCTCCCCCCCCTCCCCCTCCCGGCGCATCCGCAAGAACACATACATACATACATGCATACATAGGCAGGTGGCTGGCAGAAGTTAAGGCCTGACTTCTGCTCCCGGAGGTTCCGGGTTCAAATCCGCCTGCCGACCTCTCGGATGTTTGAGAGGTGTTGAAGTGGGAGGTGGTCCCCCATCTTGTGGACGGTGTAGAAATTGATAAAATCAACTTGCGAGCTGACCAGTACCTAAGTTGAGGCGCCGTTGATTCGCTAGATTTGGTTGGATGCTGGTGGTGAGTTGCTGAACCCAACGAATACATTCTGAAGTTGGATGGGGTGAACGGATTAGGGTGCCCCTCTCGCAGGGGAGAGCAGGGACTGCCCCGGGAAAGGGGGCCGCGGGTGAAGCTTAACCACCCTGTAACAACATCATACATACATACGTACATACATACATACACACACTTTCCGTACCCACCCCCATTCCTTCTTTCTCTTGATTCATTTCGCACTAACTCCCATCTCCCCCCCTCCCCCCCTCGAGATCACGGTCGCCACGGACGCCTTTCGGTCAGTTCTACGTTTGATACTCTCTTGCCCTTGCAGCAGCTTCACTCATTCGTGGCTCGTCTTTCCCCCTCCCCCTTCCCCTGCACTTGCAGGTCTGACCATCTTCTGCCTGGTGCCCACCACCCTGGGTATCGGCGTTGCCCTGGTTCGCTCGTGTCGGGGCAATGAGGCCATCGCCCTGCTGCTGACGGTGGGCACCAACATGGTGGGGGTGCTCACCATGCCCCTCTACCTGAAGCTCCTGTTCCTGAACTTCGACACGGGGGGGCTGCGGCTCAACGTCAACATACCCGACCTGTTGCTAAAGCTGACTCTCACCATCTTGGTGCCCAGCGTGCTGGGCAAGGTGAGGGAAGGGGAGCTCGGATGGGGATGTATGTATGTATGTATGTATGTATCTATGTATGTGAGTTAGCTGCCTAGGTCCAAAGCCCACCAGCCGGTGGCGAGGTGGTCCGCAGCAACCTAACCCCTCAAACAGCCCTCACATGCCGGGGGGGGGAAAGGGCACGTTGATCCCAGTTGTGTTTGCCACATCACATGTGCCCTCACCCCCCCCGCCACATACACCCTCGTCCCTCACCCCCCCCAACAGCTCCTCCGTGAGCTGTCGCGCCCCGTGGAGTCCTTCGCCAAGCAGTACCGCACCCCCCTCTCCATCACCTCCACCACCAACCTGGCCTGCATCGTGTGGCAGACCCTCAGCGGCGCCCGGGACCTGCTGTTCCAGCAGCGGGCGTCCATGATCGTGTCCGTCATTGTGCTCAGTGCCGCAGTGCACGTGTTCTATCTGGTGGTGAACCACTTCGCGGTGAAGTGAGCCGGGGGAGGGGGGGAGGGGGAGAAGGGGAGGAGGGCGCCCCTATGAGGGCATTACTGAGGTTGCGTCCTGATTACCGTCCGGGGAACCATCTAGCCCCCCTAGCACACACACACACACGCCTTTTTCCCCTCCTCCTTCCGGGCCCTCCCCCCAACCCCCCTCAGGTTCTTGTTCCATCCCCCCCTCCCCGAGCACGTGGCTGTGGTGGTTATGGCCTCCCAGAAGTCCGCCCCAGTAGCGGTGACCCTCATCTCCTACGTCACCTCGCTGCCCGCACAGCAGGGGCTGCTGGCCATACCCTCGGTGGTCGGGCAGCTGAGCCAAATATTCATCGGGGCGGCGCTGGCCAAGTACATTGCACCGATAGTAGGTTGCGTCTATTGCGCACTGTCAGTCTGCCTGTCTGTATGTATGTCTGTATGTGTGTTGTGGGGGGGAAGGGGGATGGCGGGCGGAGCCGACCCGAGGTCTGTGCCCCTTCGCCTCACACTCGAATTAATGACACGACACGACATACAGCGACTGGACCGGAAATTCTCCCCCTTCCCCCCCGGGGGGTTTAGCGGGGGGCTGGGCTCCATTCGTACAGTGTTGGGTGATGGTGATGTGCGGCCGGATGCACCGGTGGACGATCCCCTTCAACCCCCTGACAGGGGGGTTGTCCCGCTGTGGCGCAGCCCGCATGCCCCCCGGGCAGCCATCCAATCATTCATTCACTCGCTTACGGCCGCCGCGTGGCCCGCTCGGCCCGCCCGTCCTCCGCCACCCCGCAGGTCGATCGGGCAGTCAAGGCAGCGAAAGCCAGCTCGGCGGCAAAGGCAGCGGCGGTAGATGTGGCCAAGGATTCGGAGCTGGGCGCCGCCACCACCGCAACAGACACAGCTGCGGACCCCACCGCCGCGGCCGCCGCCGTCGTCCCCGAGGTCAAGGTACAGGAGGAGGGGGGGGTGGCCGCCGCGGTTGATGCTAATGCTATGGCTACTGCTATGGCTACTGCTGCCGTCGCGGCAGCGACAGCCGTACCGCCAGTCGCCGATAGTGGCAGCAGCAGCAGTGTGCATGGGGACGCCCCGCCATGAAAGGTCGCAATCCGGTTCAACTGGTCGAAATGCTTGGAATCCGCTCGCCATGCTCGCAATTGCTGTTATCGCAATCGCTCGAAGGACTGTTATTATGTTATTGTGTGTGTGTGTGTGTGTGTTGGACATCAACCACCCCCCGCGGCGGCGGCAGCGGCGGTGGTGGTGTGACGGTGGTGGCGGTGGTAATGGGGATGGTGGTGGGGTTTCACATCCCCATGCATTTCGGACACATAATGGGAGGTGTCGACTGTGGGGCACTGGCACACTACTGGACTTGCGCACTGGGAGTGGGGGTGGGGGTTAGGGGTACCGCAGGAAAAGCTTGAAGGCCCTGGAGTTTATGTGTAATTTTAGTTTACTAAAATTACACATAAACAATACAGAGATTGTCCTATATTGTTAATGTATACTGTTCCACTCGTGGAACAGTATACATTAACAATATTGGACAATGTTTATGTGGACTATTTTATAGTCCACATAAACAATACTGTATTGTCTCTATATTGTAAATAGGGTCTAGTAAACTAGAAGGTATTGTGTGTAGATATGGGATATAGATGTAATTGGCCAGGCTGGCTACACGGCGTTTGTTTGTACGTACGTATGTGGCTGTGTATGTGTATGTGTATATAATATATACAGATTTTTGGAGGCGAGCTCGTGGTGGTGGTTCACTGCTGTGCTGCGGTGGCGGGTTGGATGCTCCATGCACGGTGATTTCGAATCTGCGTACGGCATATGGTCATCGTGACGTCATCACTCTCCCCCCCCCTTCCCGCGTCCTCGTGCGGGTGAGCGTGCAGACCGCCGCCGCCGCCGCCGCAGTGCACCGCCTGGGGGGCATCTCGAAGTGTGCAGTAATACCCGCTCGTCAGGGCATATGGGTGGTTGCGGTTGCAGTACGGCTGCGGCGGTTATAACGGTTGTTAATTAAATGCCATAGTTGGTTAATGCGGGAAAGGGGTATTCGCGTGTTTCCCCGGCACGCACTACTGGGCTGGATCAGGCAGTCAGGCCGTACCAGCTCTACACCTAAGCTCGCACCCTTTCGACTGGCCGCCCTGATTGGGGGTGGGGGCGGGGGCGGGGGCCGATGGTATTGGATATGGCGGAGCGTTGGGGTTAGTCGCTGAGCCCCTCCGTTGCTAACAGGTCTATTGGATAAAGCGTGCGGTGTGCGGTGCAGGGTGGGTGCGGTGCAGGGTGGGCGGCAGATGCCCTCCGGGATCGGGGGCCCGGGGGGAGAGGGTACGCGGATGGGTCCTCGGTGTGTGTGGGAGTTGGGTGCGAGTTCATAATCGCTGGGAAGCAGCACTCTGCGGCCTCTGGGGCCTGTGGGTTACCGGGGGGTCCAGAGAGCGTTTGTTTGCAGGGAGTGGCAGTAAACGGCAGCGCGGCCGCCTGAATTCAAATATACTGCTTCCTGCCCCCCTGTGGAATCGGATCGAAAGAAAGCTAAGGAACCCAAACAAAGTGTTTTTCGAAGGGCGCTGCTAACTGATGCGACCTGTGTTTGTGGATTTGGTCCAGTGACCTCCATCATGAGTTTTAGGACGGATGCTGCATGACACGCTGTGTATGCTATAGCCAACATATGTATGCCTTGGAAGGGAACATTACCTATGTCAAAATTCAGCGTATTTGTACGACACGGACGACAATGCGTGCAAGGCATGATTTTACCACGCTGGGGTGTGGGCATACAGAGGTATAACAAAGTAATTGGGCGCTGTGGCTGTGGTGCCGTACTGTTCCGTGTGTCGTACATTGTTATACCGTGCTTTTTCGCGCCGGTTCCATGCCTGATAAGCGATGATCCGCAGGATTGCGTCAACCGACAAAGTGGTTGAGCCGGGGGCTGGCAGCATCGATCTCCAGGCTGCTGGGGAGGCCTTTTGGGCTGGGGGGGGACCTGTGTGGTGGTTCGTCTGCCTATTAGGGGATTCTTGGTGGGAGGAGCCAAAGGAGGCGGGTGCGCGTGCAACGGATGCGGTGCCAGCGCGGCGGCCAAGGTGTATCCCCCCTATGGAGCTGGTGGCGGTAAATCGTTGGGCGTTAATGGATGAATACGGCGGTGGCGGGAGGCCCCTCAGTTTCGGGGTCCATCTCTCCGCGGCGTTTCTATGGCGAGAAGGTGGTGGAAGGTGTGGCGGCGGCAGAGGCTGCATCCGCACCGTGATATCGGAGAGGGAGCAGCGCCCAAGAAGTCGCCGAGTAAAACAAGTTTTTATCTTCTTGCACCGCAATTTTTTGAACTCGACTAGCCCCCAGCTCCAGTCCATCCTGCAGCCCCCCCGCCCGCACTGCAGTGCACATTTGCTGAGGCCTCCGCTGATCTGATCTGGGTCATGCTCGGACTGTCGTACTCGTAAAGTGCACTTTACATTTAGCTTGGCAGGAGGTGCAACCCAGGGGGCTACTCAGGGGGCCAACCGGGTAGGGTGGCGGCGCGGCTTATAACGCCAGCAGTACGGCACTGAAGCCGAATCTCACTACACATTACCCTCCCCCCTGCGAGCTTCCCCCACGGGCACCCAACGCCCCTCCCACCCGCCCAACACCGGTATGTCTGGAAAAGACATACGCACGGAACATAGATACAAACAGTCATCCCGGCAATGTCTAACTACCGTACACGAATACACATACACACATACACCCCGGGACGGCGCCCAATCGCCCCCTGAGCCGAGATGTACGAGTACACAATCCTCATTAAGTGTCCAAGTGCCAAGCGTTGCATACGTCGTACATCGGAAGCAATGACGTCCAAAGAAAGGTTTCTATCATAGACCACTACACCCCTTTACACGCTCTTACACATGGAAAGCAAATGGGTCGTCAACCGCCCCCCAACCGACTCCAACTGTCACACCTACCCCGTCAGGTGTCCCTAATAATCTAAATTAGCAGTGGCCGGGGCTCGGACCGCCGTACACTTTATTATACGTGCTGTCTTGCTCACGAATCCTAACTACCACTAACCACCACAACGGAAACCAACTAATTTCCCAATAACTGATAGCCCCAATCACAAACACCCGTGTTGTGACGAGCTCGTGTCTCCCCCTTCTTTGCACTTGGCCAACGCTTTCCAAAACTCCGGTACAACTTCCACATTATTACAACAGCTCCATGCGCACATGCGGGCGTCCACACCCAGGTTGTGTTTTGGCATCCGTACACCGGGGCCCCCCCCGGACACTCAGCGACAGATACACCTTCTACCCTACCCCCCCCCAACCCCGCCCCGCAAAGGCTCCTCTCCACCGCCCCGCCTTAACGTGCCAGAACCCTGCACGTCCCCCACACAACACACACACATACAGACAAACACACGGGCCCGGGTCGTCCGCCCTCCACGAACGTGTCCTGCTACCCCATCCCCATCCCCACCACCATTCACACCGCCTTGGCCCGCCTCGGCTGCAGCCACCTACCTCCTCTCCCCCCCGCCCCATCACCGACCTCGGGTAGAGAGCCGCCCGGCATTCACCGCCGCTGCGGCCAGCTAGGGTTTCCACCGTCACCGTCCTCCTCTTCCCCGCCTCTCTCTCTCCCCCTTTCCCCTCATGTGCTATATCAATGCGGGGGCCCCGGGTGGGTCGCATCACACGCCCTGGGTCGCTCTCTCCCCCACGCCACATCCCTTCACACGTCCCCACACCCGGGGTTCTGTTTGCTCATATCCGCCACCACCAGCCGCATGGCCGCCAGCACCTGGGGGAGTGTGGTGACCTGGGGCGGGGGAGAGGGAGGGAAGGCACGCGAGGGCAAAGGGTGACTTCGTGGAAAGCCATATCCTATACACGAACCAAACACACACACGAAGGAACTCCTCCACTCTTCCTTCTCCCACAATCCCCCCATCACATACATACATACATACATACATACATACATACATACACATACTTACATACGCACCCACCTTTTCCGAGAACCCGATTCGCTCGACGCTGAACTCGGACCCGGTCCTCGCGCGGATGTCGACTCCGGACGCGTCGATGGATATGAACATCAGCTCATCCAGGGGCCGGTTGCCGCATCCCAACTTGGCCCTCAGCACGGGAGCGAACTGCTCGTTGAGGACCTGACACGCGCGTGTTGTGTGTGTGTGTATGTGTGTGTGTGTTTTGGGGGGAAGGGAGGGGGGAGGGAAGGGGTCCCTTCACAAGGCGAATGTGTGTGTGTGTTTTATACACCATTGAGCTGCTTTCCGAGTTAATTGTTAAGCGGAGCGATGTGCTCTGGGGATTTAAACTAATAAAACAAACTGTTGGAAATCGCCTGTGTTCTTGCACTCCCTAAGACACCGGTCCTTTTCCCGCCATATACGCCCCCGGCCCCTGCTTCCCCCGACCCCTGCTTCACACGACACAGACCTCACACCTTCCCCCCCCTCCCTCCCTCCCTTTCTCCCCCCCTTTCCTCCTACTCACATGCAGTATGTGTCCCGGGTTATTGAGTACGATCTCGTCCGGTACGGCGCCCAGGTACTCCTCGGGCGCTATCCACTGCACCGTACCGAACCCCCCCACGAAGTAGATGTCCACGATGCGGTTCATCCGGAAGTACACGAAGTTGCCGCTCACCCAGCGCTCCTTGCGCTCGTTGCTGTGCTTGGAGATGAAGATCTCCCGAGCCGAGTCCTGGAGCAAGGTGGCCGTGTGTGCGTGTGTGTGTGTGGAGTGAGGAGGGAGATTTGGGGAGGGGGGAAATGGAGGGGTTGGGGGATGCATTGGACAGTAAAAGTCAATGCAAATGACTGATGGGCGCGTCGAAAAGGTGGGAGTAGGAGCAGCCCTCCCTCCCTCCCTCCCCCCGTCCTCCCCCCCCTCCGGGTCGCCGCCTTCAAGGACGACTTCTGGTCAGTTGTACTTCTTGTACACTCTTTTCCTTGGCAGCAGCTTCACTCGTTCGTGGTTCGTCTTTCCCCCCCCTCCCCCCCCTCCCCCACCTGCAGGTCAGCGGGCAGCTGATACACATCCCCGAATATGGTGACACGGGCATTGGCAAGTCCGGTCCAGCCGGGCATCTGTACGACGAGGGAGCACCTGCCTCCCGGGCGGTTGCGGAGGGGGAGATGAAGGGGGTGACAAGGGGGTTTAGGGTGGTGAATGGACCCATGAGAAGGGGAGGACCCCTTCTCACACAGCCAACGAACAGAGGTCACCACCATCAGTATCTGATGGCCCAACTCCTTTTCCCCCGTCTACCCACTACCCACCCCTACATTCGTGCAACCCGCCGCAGGTCGGCACACAGCGCCCCCTCCCTCCCCCCCACCTGGGCTCCTCAATCAAGTTACGCGAGTGAATGGCCAGAGGGGACAAACAGAACACCGGGTAGCCGGCGCCGTCGGAGGCGAAGTCCACCAGTGTGCCGAACGGGTAGCCGGCCCTGTGTGCGCGGGGGTTGGGAGAGAGGTAGGGGGAAGAGGGGGGGAGGTGGCGGGGGGGAGGTGGGGGGTCCTCGGCAAGGTAAGTGGTGGGGGTGGGGGTGGGGGGTCCTGGGCCGGCACGTGGGTGAGGAAGTACCCTCCGCGCCCGGGACGGCACCCGGGAGGGGGGCGGGGGAGCATAACCCCCTGCGGAGAGAGGGGGAGAGAGGGCGCGAGGGCGAACTTGCACGTGGTGTTGAACTGTACTGTTTGTGGCCGACAGGTTTGCCAGGATTGCCATAACCCTAAGATAAGAAAGGTGAGTGGTTTCGTGAGCTCGTCAGCGCAGGGCCCCCCTCAGTTCCCCAAATCGCACCCCGCACCCCGCACCAAGCTCCGTCGCGTCGCGTCACACGCCCCACCCCCTCCTCATCTTCCCGCATCCTTCCCCCAAATCTCAAAACCCCGCCCCGCCCTGCCCCGGCCCCCCCCGCCTACCTGCGGTGGTGCATACCGCTCATCATGGTGCACAGGTGACCGAAGCGGGCGTGCTCCACGAGGTTGCGTACGGCAACTGGCGGGGAGGGCAGCTCGTACCTGGCGGGTTTCGGGGGGGGAGAGGGGCATGGGGGTCGTTCAAAAGGGGGCCCTGGTCGAGTGAGGAGGTGAGTGAGTGAGGAACCGATGAGGAGGAGGAAGGGGTCCCAGACCCTGGGGAAAGGGGCCCTACCCACCCACCTATCCACTCCTAGAGCCGCCGTGTCTGCCCTCCCGCCCTGCCCCTCCTCCCCCTCCCCTACCGTGTAGTCGCTGTCTTGACACCCCCCGACAGCGGGGCCCTATGCAGCCCAGTGGTCTTCACCGGGCTCTCCATTATGACCTTGGAGGTGGCGGTGGAGTTGGAGGAGAGAGCTGCTGCTGGGGCTGCTGACGCCGCCTGCTTCTTGTCGGATTCGAACACCAGATTTAGCTCCGTGGGGCGGGCGGGGCTGGGGACCCCCCGGGGCGCGGCTGCACCCTCAGAGCCGGCCTTCTGCGGCTGCAGCGGTGCGGCGCCGTCCAGGTTCCCCGGTGAGTGCGCTACGTTGACCCGGACGCAGGGCTGCGTTGACCGGGGGAATTGGAGCGGGCGGCGGTAGTGGAGTGGTGGGACTGGGGGCCGGGGGACAGTCGGGGCTGAGGGGGGACCTGCAGACGTTCTTTGAAGTTGTTGTTGCAGAGGTGGCATACTGCTTCTGATATGTTCGGTCTCGACACGGCTGTCTCACTTGGCGCGAACCTCTTCTCGACCTGGGAGCGAGGGCCGTCGGCATGTCGGGCATTGTGTGAGCGATGGCTTGCATCCGAAGTAGTGCGATGCAGCGAAAAATCGCCACATATCGGAAAATTGGAGCTGATACGATATGTTGAGGCCCAACAATAATAAATCGCCGCTTAGGAAACGCGGAAAGCATACTGTCGGCGCGACGGTGGCGGGACTAATCAAACTGAACTGCAGTCGTAATAATGAAACTCTAATATCGCAAAGAACAATCATTGACTCACTGATAAATCTATCCACAACCCTTTGCCACGCGCAGTTGTCCCTAGAACCTAGGCCCCTTCAGAGCCCGGCGGCCAACAAAACAAGGTAACCTCTTTCAGAGTAAATCGCAGTATCGTACTGAATTTTGATCATGCCAAAGCGTGAGTGCCAGCTGCGATAACACGTTGTACGTGGGAATACGGGAATCGACTGTGGCTGCGTGTTCGCATTACAAAGCAGCCCAAATGCCCAATCAGAATTTTAAATTATGCCATTCACTATGGCATTGGTCCAAAACGCTATTGAGTTCCAGCAAGACAACGGCGCATTCGCCGTTAGACGTCCTGAGTCGAGCATACAAGGCCTCGCAACGCTGTGCAGTTCAGCGTACAACGCATAGTATGCCAAAATCTGTTAAAAATGCATATCAAAAGCCCGCCGCGAAGCACCAAGCGCCACAGATTTCATATTCGCCCGAGTGCTTCGCATTCAAACACAAGGCACCGCATTCAAACGCGATCAGGCTCCTTGGCACGACGGCCATCTTGCATCAACAGCTTCGTACCGTGCAGCTGCAATTACGATACTCACAAGGACAAAAAGAGTAGCTCCCGAACGCACCGTACTCGCCCAAAACCGAAGAGAACATCACAACCCGGCCTCCCCTCTGATACCAGGTAGCTTTCTCTGCCCCAGAGGACCAGATACACATTCATGCAGTCACTTGTGGGTCGCGGCTCCCCACCCACCTATCGCACCCCAACCCCTATCGCAGGCCCCATATCCGGCTCTTCTACCTCTTCTGCCCGCCATACCCAAGCAAGCAAACCGCACATCAAATCACTCCGGCGGCAGCAGCTCTCGCCTCTTTGACTCCCTCTCCTGCAGCTCCCGATCCGTCAGATCTCGCGTTGTGACACGGATCTTAGACGGTCGCTGCACCTGGTCCGAGCCGTCCACATCCTCCTCGGCCGGCTCCTCGCTACCCGCACGACCCATGACACGCTTGCGGCTGCGGTCACGAGCCAGCTTCTCCTCATCACGCCAGCTGCGTAGCTCCAGTTTCCCCTGTGAGACACGGCAGCCGCAGCCGCAGCCAGAAAGAACAGCGACCAGGCTCATAGAGGTTCTCATATGGGAAAACAGCCGGATCGCCTCTGTGTGCAGTGCTAGCACCATTGAGCTTGCTGACGACGATCTAGCAGCTACGCGGTCAGAGCGTGACAATCGCCCATCGGCAATGGAAGACAGGAGGACAATCCAACTGGTCGGAATGCTCTGATCTCACGCACCATTGAGTGACTCATTCCCCCACGCTCGCTCGCGCGCTCCGTCACGCCAAAACACTCCCCGACATACGCCTGGAACTGCCTAAAGCCTTGTCACGCAAATCCCACTTCCCTGGCCAGCCTCCCTGCCCAACTCCCCAGCCTCCCTGCCCAACTCCCCAGCCTCCCTGCCCAACTCCCCAGCCTCCCTGCCCAACTCCCCAGCCTCCCTGCCCATACCAAAGGCATTCCAGCCACCCCTTCCCTTGCCTGCTTCCCAACGCCACCAGCACCAGCCACATGTACCAACATCACCCACCGGTACTTAGGGGCCCTTGTAGCCGGACCTCGCGTGTATGCCTTGCCCAGGTTTGTGCGGCCTCCCTTCCGCCTTCCCACTCCTCCCCTACCCTCCCTCCACTGCCCAGCCCGGGTCACATCTCATACCTACCTGCATCCGGTGAAAGCGTGCCGCTCCCCTATCCAGCCGAATGGCGTAGTGCACACTGTCACGCTTGTACTCGTAGTTGTAATCCTTAATCCATTGGTACGACCCCTCCAGATCTTCCGGTTGCATGCCGCCACTCGCCGCTGCCTCCTCATCCCCAGCCGCCGCGGCCGCCGCCTGCAGCTCAGCCTGGTGCGCCGTACGCGCCACCATCCGGTCAATATCCTCCCGCACCAGCAGCGCCATGATCTTCAGTTCCCGGTCCTGGCCCGCCTTGCTGATGTGGTGCGTGAAGCCCTTGAGCAGGTAGTGGCCCACCAGCAACTGCTGACGCTTGGCTGCCGGCAGCTGCTGTATGGCTTCCGTGCCCACCACCCCCGCCAGCTCTTCTGCAGGGTCCGCGTCGTGGAAAGTGGTGAGCAGCAATTTCTGCGGCCAAGAGTCCATGTCAGGCAGCACAGGCAGCACCTCCACGGGCTTCAGCGACGGGTTGCGGCTGTGCACGGGCAGCGCACGGGCGGCCTCAAAGGAGGCCTCGATGGCACGCGCCTGAGCCGCGACGTCGTTGAGCTCACGGTCGTCAGCGGCGCTCGCGCCGCGGCGCTCCGCAGCGCGGGCCTGCAGGACTTGCTTCTCTGGCAGGCCCTGCCGCTGCACACCGCGGTTGTCGGAGCTGGAGATGTATGTAGTGCGCATGAGCCAGGAGCACTTGTCGACGCCCATGCCCTTGGTGCGCGCGGCAAACGACTTGTGCCGGCCGTCGCCGGCGGCAGGGAGCGGACTGCCGCCGACAGCGAGCGGTCGCGAGTCGTCCTTGAGGAGCGCGGCGTCAGCCGGGTCCATGGGCCCGGGCTGGTCGGGCACCTGGTAGCGCTGCACGTCCAGGGGGGAGATGATGATATTGGGCGGCGTGAGCAGATCACGCCGTGCTTGGCGCTCGAGGCTGGTGAGGGAGAATCGCGACAGCACCTCCGGCTGTATTTGCGAGACGAGCATCTTGGGGTCCGACGGAATCTCCGGTAGGTCGTTCTTGAACCGGATGTGCGCTAGGAATGGAGTGTCTCTTCGCAAACGATTCTCGACCGCCATAGGAATTACGTTGCTGCTCGCATGGCTGCTGCTGGGAGGAGGAGGATGCTGCTGCCGATGCTGTGAATGCGATGGAGTGGCCGCAGGCTTCGCTCCAGGTGGGACAGAGCGAAAGCCCGTAGGTGGCTCTGGTTTCCGATGACCATTCTGTTGCTGCTGGTGAGCCCCATGTGAACCAGAAGGCTTTGGTGGAGGCGGTCCTGGTGGTCTATAACCAGCTGGGCCATAGCTTCCAATACCAGGTCCAGACGGAGGTGGTGGAGGTGGCCCTGGCGGTCCCGCTGGGCCGGGCGGGGGCGCGCCATACGCGGGTGGCCCTGGAAAGCCAGCGAGCATTCCGCTACGTTAAGGTCCTCCTGTTAACATGCATGCAAGCAACCAGCGATTAAACAGTTTTGACCATATCGAGCTAAAGAAAAACCAAATGTTAGTTGACAAAAACTTTTGTTCAAGGATGCATTTCGTACAAGCATTACGGCGTTAGGAAACCGTGAAAGACATGAGCTTTAAGTTACATCTGAGTAAAAGCGATAACATATGCCTCATTATGTCTTCTTGTTAGCCGGAGCCTTAGGTAGAGGGTGACTTGACTGTTGCAGCTTGCGAAACACTTGGCCAAAGGCCATGCTGCCTTCCTACCACCATGGAGGTAGTATGCCTGGAATGGGCTCGAAGCCCCTGCGTCGCCCCTGGTTTCAGGACATCAATGGAACGTTGATCGCAATTCTTGTGCTCGCTATTGTCCTGGCTCTGGAGCATTTCCATTTCCAAAGTAAGAAGGAGCTTATCGCAACGATGTTCAAATAAAAACGACCTGTCAAGGAAGTCGTGCATCGGCGTGACAGGTCGGCTGGCGCGGGTGAGCACCCTCGAAGTGTCTCTCGCCACGCAGCTGAAAAATGTCGAGGTCAGCATGCAGCAAAATACCGACCAGCTACACAGGATGGACCCCAAGCTAAACGAAATTGATACCGCGGAGCTCTCATTAAAACGGTTGCAAGAAGAGGTAGGTGGGGCGGGGTTGGGGGTTTTTCACAGGTTCTCCCCTGGTTTTCCATAAAGAAGAGGACGGCTCGGAAGCGAATTAATATGCACCACAATGTTTGCCGCTTCTCAAGAGTTTTGGCGATTGACCGGCAGTTTTATGGGACTGTAGGGTGCCATCTAGCATTCATAGCAGGTGGTTAGTCTTAAGGAGAGGGCTTCAGTGTTCCACTGCCGTTCAACCCATCCTTGTGTCTTTTACCCAGGTCGCCAAGGCAATTTCAGATGTCGCGGCTGTGAAGGTGGCTCTGGAAACAATCCAGCAGGCCAACACCACAGCCCAACTCACGCAGGTAATACCTGAGCGAAGGAGCAGAGAAGAATCGATGCGGGGACGCCACGCGGCGGCCTCTCGCCCAGAGCCCTCATACAGCTCGGTGTGCGGACGGCAGCGGGAAAACCCGTGCAGGGCGATTTGGGTATTTGCGAGGACTAAGCTCATGCGCCACAAACTCGACTGATGAGTTTGATCAGCGGCCGGGTTGTGACTCGGCAGTCTCACGCCTCTTGGCCCCCGTGCCATTCACTTCTTAATGCAGGCAGTTACGGAGCAGGGGCAGAACCTGAAGGCCCTTTCCTCCCAGCTGGAGGAGGTGCGCAAGTCAGGCAAGGAAGCAGTGGAGGGCCTGGGCTTGCAGTTGGCGAGTGTGGAGACGAACGTTAGCAAGGTAAGCTTTGCCGGACCTTGGGTGCACCGACACCTGTGGGACAGCCTGCCACTCGTCTGCATGGGCTCCGCTGGGGATGAGACTCAGCGGTCATGGTAACTTACCCATAGACAAGCAGGGAGGCAGGCAGGCAGGCAGGGCGGGACTGCGTGGGGGCGTGGGACGATGCCTCCCGTGTGATGTATTGCCTTCGCGCCTGAAGCGCATTGGAATGAGGTTTTGAGCGTGTTTGTTTGATTGTTTGTTCGTGTGTGAGTGTGTTGTGTGTGCGCGCGTCTCCTGCCTTCCTGGACCAAAGGGGGTCGGGGTGCAATTGGGAGACTATGATCTGGCTGGACTTGATCAAATTCTTAACCTCCCTCAGTTTTACATCCTCGGGGGTTGCGCTGCTGCTCGGATGCCGACCCAGATGGGAGCACATCCGCAATCACGCCGTACTTCCCGTTTCTGCTGTGCACTGTCCTCAACGCCTTTTGCCATTAGCATACCCGCATGACATAGCCATGCGGAAGAGGCCCCACTAAACCCCCCCATACAAGGGCCAAATACCGGATGCTCGGTTGGGTTTGCCATGCCCACGCTTCACCTGTCGCGAAATGCCTCTCCTCCCCACACGGACCTTCCCCCCACTCCCTTCACTCCCCCCCCACCACCAGCTGGCCACCAAGCTGGACTCCCACAACAGCGCCCTCAAGACGCTGGCCGACCAGTTGGAGCTACACCAGAACTCCACTCTGTCGGCACTGCAGCAGCAGACGGCGGCGGTGTCAGAGGCTCTGGAGGCGCACAAGGCGCTGCAGGAGCGGGTTGACAGCCTCAGGCTGAGCGCAGCAGCGGGACCGGGGTCGGACGGGAAGGAGGGGACAGCCACGAGCACCTCAGCGGTGACGGCGGCGGCTTCATCCGGTGGGACAGAGGCCGGCTCAGCAGCCGGCCCTGCTGGGACAGAGACAGGTCTGGCGGCCGGCAATGTGTCTGCTCCACGTCGGAATGCGCTCAATAAGACCGATGCTAACACGACCACCAGCAGCAACAGCACTACCGCTCCAGGGCCGGGGTCCCAGCAGTTGGCGGCGGCAACGGATGTGGGCAGCGGCGGCGGCGTGTCAAACTGGACAGCCGCCAGCGGTGCGGCAGATCGCGCGGAGGATATCTCCCAGTCGGGGCCCAAGGCTCCAGTCGCGAACGCTACCGGCGGTGCGGCTGGCAGTCAGACCCCGTCCATCACAGCAGCGAGCATGGAGCAGGACGACCATCTGGTACGGGAACATACGGCCCTTACGCTGGACGAGGAGGCCGAGGGCAAGACTGCGGCAAAAACTGATACAAGCTCTTCCGGCAGCAGTGGGAGCAGCTCTGGCGGTGCGAACTCGACAGCCGCCAGTAGCACGCAAGGAGCTGGGTAAGTGAGGGGCTCGGCGGGGCATCTGGACGCGAACATGACGGGTGTGCACCCACCAGCACATGGGAGTAATGGAACGCGGCGTCAGGAAATCCCATCCAGTACTGTGTGGTGTGAGCTCGCGCCTATCTGGGGGCCGCCTTATGCCTCATTGTGCACTCGGGGCGGCCGCCCTTTTTAGTTAAAGGGGAGGCATTCTGGGACTTTGGCACCTGGCTATTGCGCATATATCTTACCTTCCCCTCGACCTGATGCTCTACCCATTTTGCGTGCAGGGCTACTACCACTGTTGCGAGCCCGCTCCAGTACTCCAATTCCAACATCTGGACGGGCTGGTCCGGCCCCACCGCGGCGAACTCGGATGCATCGGCCGCCGGTTCCAACACGACCGCCGGCGCCACGCAGGCTGATACCGCCGCTTCCACTTCTACTACTTCTGGCGGCAGTCAAGGTGCGGTAACCCCTATGGCCGCGGATACGGTGGAAGCGGTAGTGAACGGGAGCGCCAGTGCTGCTACATCATCTACATCCACATGGGCGGAAAAGGTCACTGAGGGGACCGTGGCGACAGGTGCGACCCAAGGCACTGCGGCCAGCAATGGTACGGCAGCCCTGGACGAGCTACATGCGCTGGTCGGTACTACTACTACTGCTAATACCTCCTCGGACGACACGTCAGCTGCCGGCGGCAGCACCGGAACCGGGGACAGCAGCGCTGGACGTGGCGAGGCGGACGTGGCGAGTGCAGGTGGTGCTGGTGCCACCGGAGGGGGCGCTTCAGGGGCGGAGGATGTGACTGGTGCTGAAAAGCAGGTGGACGGGCGTATGGACAAGGAGCTGGCGCGGCGCGGACACGGCGAGGCAGAGCAAGGGCAAATGAAGCAAAGCGCGGGAAGTCAGGTCGGTGGAGGCCGCAGCCGCTTCAGTCGCATGCACGACCATTTCACCAAGCAACAGCGGCTTGGGCAGCAGAGCGGTGCGGGTGCGAGCGGTGTTGAGCGGAACAGCAAAGTGGACTCGGCGGGCACTGACTCTACCGGCTTCACTAAGGATAAGGCCATTGCTGGCTTTGAGGCTGCAGATGGCGAAGGGAATGGGGTCACCGGCGGTGGTACGCGAGCCGAGGAGGAGCAGTCCGCCGCGCGATGAGGAGGATCAGGACCAGGTGGAGTGAGGAGGCAAGGCGGTGTTGACGACGATCCGGTTGCGCGTCTGGATACGCGAAGGTCGTCTGGAGGTGTGGTGGCAGGAGAGGCCGTTTGGGCGGGGTGGTGCGAGAGGGATGTGCAAATCCATATTCAGGTGGTTGATTACTAGAGGTCAAAGGCGTATTTGTTGTTGGGTGAGTGCGTGCGCGTGACAGCATGACGATGCGGAGAGCTCGACTAGCGGGTAAGGCAAGTTGGGGAGCGGTTTGCTAGGGAGTCTTATAGAGAGAGAGAGAGAGCTTGACACCATTACAAGAGAGTATCTGGACTATTAATGGGTGCGACAAGAACAGTCGACATCAGCTGCATGTTAGTTTTGGCAGGGGGCCAATACACAGGTCTGTAAGGTTCGCAGCATGACAGCCGAGTTTAGAGTTTATTACTGTTTGACCCTAGGTATTCTTGGGGTTTTACCGAGGACCAGGACCTAGAAACCAGGCCGTATGACAGTCATATCGTGCGTGTATAGCTATTGAGGACCTGACAAGTGCTCCTTCGCCCAGTAAGGTTGACGGCGACTGGGGTTGTGATTGTGACACGCGGACCGAACATGTCAGCGAGTGGCCATGCTAGCCGTGAGCCCGAGATGATTGCGATGCGTCCTTTTTGCGGCATGCCATACCTTACCTTACCTATGACTGTTGTAGCCAGCTATGAGCTATCGCGTAACTCAAATGCCCTGGGCTAGGGCTGGGTTTGTATTTATGTAATCTTGTTGTCCTTGTAGGGCTGCGATGTTTGTTCTAGTCACCTTAGGGAGGTGGCACGGGGGGGAGGCCTCGCCAAGGCGGGGAGTGGGCAATAGGGGCGGTTTGAAGCTCGAGGACCGCGAACGATGAGACCCAGGCGATTGCAAAGTTGCCCCGCCCTGTGCCCTCCCTTGAGGTGTTGGGTGTGGAGTGCGGGGCCCCTTGACAGCATATACACACAACACGGCTGTTTCCGAGGGTGAAAACCTTTGCAAATGTTCCGAATGGCAATGATGTATGTAAACCGATGCGCTTGGGTGACAGCATCATGCGGCGGTGTGTGGCAGGGGGGGGAGGGGGAACGCCAACGATGTCAAGGCCAATGTGAGGGAACTCCCCGCGACGTTGCGGAGCACCGCCTGTTCGCTTCATTGCCCGGGGAGCAA